GCTGTCAAGACTCACATTCTGCCTTGTTTTTTCTGTCCAGGAATCATAATTTAAAAAATCAGATTTAAGGTTGAAATGACAGTTACAATTAAAACAGGCACAGTTTAGAAAAAAAAAAGGTTTTCCTGTACTTTTTTTCCTGTATTCTTACCAGTGACAATACAAACCAAGAATCATTACTGAAAAGGTTTATTTGTTTGGGTTTTTAAAATTTATTTCCTATACAAGCAATAGACTTTTGGAAAGAATCTGCTCTGCCAGAATTGCTCAGAAGTTTCATATACAAGCTCAAAAAGGTGGACAGAATAAAGAAAAAGCTTTCTTTAAAATAGGAAAACCAATCTGTAACCTCCTTCCACTCTAAAACAAAACAAAATCAAGAACTGTGCAGAGACTTCCATAACTAATGTAGTATGAAAAGCAACATTTATTGAATATTCTTAAAGGACAGCATTCCTTTGAAAAGCTGTAACTAAAAATAATTCATTTGACAGTCCAGCTGAGATATGTTTATGTTCCTATCTCCTTCTAAATCCTGTGCCAAACAAAACAGGGTGGGTTTTACAGCCTGTAGGCACACACTTAGGACACTCAATAACATCAAATATAAATAAATGAGCAATTTACAGTAAAAAAATGTTATACATACTCAATAATGTATTCAGCATGTTACTTAATTCTGCATCTAAATTTGCATATTTTTGCACTACTGTTCAGTCCAGCAATTAGCATACTGAATCTTATTAAATATATCAAAGATATCCTTTAGTTAGCACCATGAAAATATATACCTGAAAAACTTTTTTAAAAATACTAATAATTTAAGAAACATTAGATGCCATAGAACCTGTTACCATCTTAATACACTAGACACAACAGAACCCATTAAAAGAAATACCTACAGCAGTACCATCCAACCAATTTCATTCGCAGACATCCCACAAATCTTAACACTGGAAGGGAAGATCCTTGTAAGGCTAAATGAAGCCCACTGAGGATGCTTGGCCTTTTTTAATAATTATCTTTCATGGATCCCCTTGAAAATCTCTCCTCAGAAACCTTGGGATGGACCAGAAGCTGAAAGCCAGTATCTCGCTGGCGTTATTAAAAAAAAAAAATATTCAGCTTGGCATGCTTCAGAGCCTACCAGTCACATTGGGTAGAACCCTGACCTTGCTGAAGTGACCAGATATTTTTCATTTAATCCTTAATTTATCACAGAAATAATAAAAGTCATAAAAGGAATGTGCTCAATTACTTTTCTAACATTGTTTCCCAGTGCAGTCAAGGAAAGTCAAGTTAGGTCAAAAATCAAAGACTTCTAAATTTCACTCTAATTTCTGCACAGCACTGCATTTACACATGTGGGGGAAGGGAAGGTATTTTAGGCCACTGCATCTCTGCTTTTTGGCTGCTAATTCACACACCGTGGTACAATGGCACATCTTCCTGCCTTCTAACCTTTCTGCCAGACTTAAAGAAATCCACTGAATGCCAGTCCACCAGTTTGTTCTCCCAGACAAAAGGAAATGCTCCAAAGCCAAACTGAACCATTCAACTGCAGCCATTCACATCTCCTCCATCCACTACCTACCTTCACAGACACCCTCCCATCCCATAATCGGAGGGGGATGCAACATATTCCTACAACATGCAAAACACATAGGTGCACAACACACATTTCCCCTTCTTTCTGCATCAAAGTTGAATCTGCCTTTGATATACACCCATTTAAATTTTCTTTTTTAGAATGCTGAGCCTTCCATAAATAAGATTCAGGACTGTAAATGCAATGCCGAAGCTAAAAAAAATTCTGTCACAAAATGCACTGTTTTCACCTCTTGCCACAGAATAAATTGAATATGCTTCTTTTCATCCCTCTAGTTCTCCTTAGAAACCACAAAATAATGAGGCTGTTAATTAAAATAATATGGCAGCCACTTCCTAGTTGCAAACTCTAAAAACCAACCTTGAAGCAACTGTAAAAATACAAGCATGGATCACACTACAAAGCATTTAATTCTCAATTATTGTTCAGGGCAATGAGTCATGCAAGTCCACCACTGCAATACATGTGTCAGTAATTCAGGCCTGGGGATTCTTCATTATTATTTGTTCTGATATGCTACAGGTATACTATTACAGACAAAAAAGGAGCTGTGCACCAAAAGATTTCAGTCAATCTCTTCAGCAATCATAAAAACATCACAAAAATACATCACTAGCATCCACCTTCATGACCCACTTAAAAATAGTCTCACGTTCTTGACAAAAGCACAGCACTGCTGCACTACCTTGTCCAGATTTTCACCCTAAAACTGAAATACAACGTACTGCTCTGCCCACAGCATATTGCTAATTATACCCCAAATTGAAAGAATTTAGCTTCTGTATTTTCACCTCTTTCGCTCTGTTCATTACAGTATTTCACACTTTATAATTGAATGCATACTAATATTAAAGCAGCAATGTATGTCAGAAAAGCAATAAACTTGACTTGTCACACTAGCTTTATCCCAGAGAAAAATATGTACAAGTATAAATCACCATTTTTGTGAACAAGACAACACATTACAATCCTAGAATTGGTCAGTGAAACACACATTCTCTTAAAATTTTAAGTCAGTCACATCCCTTTGGGCACATTCCGTACAGAAATGCAGCTTTAGCTTTAATCAGACAGGTATACCAGGATATGCTTGCAAAATTAGCATTTTCTGTTGTGTAATGTGGTACACAGAGAGACAGGGTTGTTGTTGGCTTGCTTTTTAACATGAGAATGAGAAAACAAAACATTTACTACTTCCTCATGCAAATATTAGCAACAAGCAGTGCTGTTCAACATTTTCTCTTTTAAAGAATCTTTCAACAGACAGATATAGAAGGAAAGGTGTTTTCTAAATAAAAAAATCTTGTTGTCCATTCAACTACACACCTTTAACAACTAACAAATCCTTTATTACAGTTTTATTCCTACCAAAATCAGTAGGATTCTCCTATAAAAGGATAACATTCACTAAGGCTGGTGAAGAGTGTTGTATAACACATCACCTTGTAAGGATGAACTAACTTTCTTCTGCACCAATGCTCAAAAAATTATTCTAGCAGGAAAAGCCACAGATCCATCACAGAAAGCTAACTGTAGTAAAGCCACTTCTCCCTTCAGTACCACACATTTTTGACCCCACCATACCAGTTTTGTAGTGACCTACAGATAAATGAATTGGCAGTCTCTATTCTGGTCGTTCACACATTTTTTGCTACCAGGAAGATTATTTACAGAAACAGAAATTTTTATTAATGACAAGCTTGACCCAGAACATTTTAAGTGCACAAAGAAAAAAAAAATTCAAACAGAACATTTTCCTTTCATCTAAGTCTCTCTTATGCCAGTCACTGTTGGGTGAAAGGATGCACAAGCAGTAAAGCTCAATCCACATAGCAACGATGCAGTGACCCAGAAAGAATCCAATGGCCAACTGAGCAAAGCAAAACTATCCAAAACCAAAGGGCAGCATGCACATTAGCATCTTCTCCACTTAACTGGTACATACTTTAAACCTAGTCTTTTATTTCCACGTTCTGCAACAAGACTTCGCATTCCCATAAAGAGCACCTCCCTCCATTGTTTCCAAGACACATGTTATGAAAAAGGAGAAAAATAGGTGCCCAGGTTCACAGAAGAGTTAGAAAAGAAAATACAGAGAAATTAAAAGTCATCATTGTATCACACTTTTCAAAAATAAATTGCAATTTGCAATTGAAAATTACACTGACAACCAGAGATGGTTCAAAACAAAATGCTGGATTCAAGCAATATTCTTCCCTTTGGGGAAAGGTGACTGTAATTTTTTGAATGAACCTGATACATACATATACAGGAACCCATCTTGTCTATAAATGTAAATGTCTATATATTTACACTACACCCACACACCTGCCTATAGACAAAGCATATGGAACCAATTATTTAAGACTAAGTATTTATCCCTTATTCCCTTTTTTCCTTAAAAAGAGGATTGTTATTAACATTAACACAAGGAAGAACCAAAACCAAAACTAAATCTTCGGTTCAGCTTATGTCAAAAGGGCAACATATATTAGAATCCAAATAGTAAGTAGCACAAAAGACAAGAACCACATTTTATCTTTGGTTTTAATCTCAGCACATATAATCTCATTCCACCCACTAAGGTTTGATATGATTTGGACAGAATCGTTTCAAAGTGCACATCCAAATGCAGCCCAACTGAAAAGCAGAAACTAACTAAGTCCTCACTCCCATCCAAGACACTCTATGCTATTGGGCATCATCTGCACTTTCCATGAAACATTATGCAAAGAAAGAGATAGGTGCCAGGAAGATGAGAAAACATGTCTGAAATACAAGCTTTTACCAACAGATTTATCCCTTTCAGAAAAGATAAATGGAAGAGGTTTTGTATCACTGTAGTCACAACAATGCCTTGCACTCTGAAATTACAGTATTTTACTGCAGGGCATCTTAACATTTTTCTGAGAAGTCTCACTTGACCCTTTTTCTAACAAAATTAGAAATTCTTCTACGGATGACAGCTATTCCCTGTCACAGGACATTCCAGTTTGCAGCTTCGCAAAATCTGGCAGATTTCAACCAAGCTCCTCTCCCACTCCCCTGCCTTTCCATTAGTCTTCCAAGACAGACTTGAACAGTGTGTAAAAGCAGTCAACTATCAGAACTTTTAACTCCCTTAACATGCATTTACTGAATCTGCCTGGAAACTGGGAGGTGCTGGGGAATGAAGGAGAAAATCAGCCAAACCAAACCAAAACGAGACCCATTTCAGAGAACCTCCCCACCACCAGCCGAATTTACTAGAAAGACTCCAAAAGACCCCAATTACATTTGGATTCGTCTTGAGCCTCCTTCATACAACCCTGTCAAATTTCAAGCAGAAATACTACCCTCAAAAAAGAGAACGCTATCATTTCCTTTAAAATGTAACACACATTTTGCTTACCTCACTGTTGTGGCCCCTCAAATTGAAGTTGATTCTCTGAGGGGTGTTCCGGTCCCTCCTGCAATGGCTGGAAGTAAAAGTGACGCCTACAACTCCTCTGCCATTGCCTGTTGCCAACCAGCCTTCCTCATAGTACCGCCTCCTGCACACTGGTTTCTCCTTCTCACTTTTGGGGACTCTCCCTTTCCAGGAGAGGCAGAGGATGTTGGAATCGCTGCAAAGAACAGGCCCATGTTCCACTGCTGCATACATGCTTTTTAAATATTTTATTTTTTGACATAAGAAAGTAATATGTCTAGTGCACAAAATTTAAATCAATTTTTTTTTTTTTTTATTGATAAGACTGACCTGGGATAGATCATTGAAAGGGAGGAGGATGGGGTCAGTGTTTATAAATATCCACCAAATGCATAGTGAAAAATTCCTCTATAAAAGATGATGGCAGTTGGCTAAGAAAAAGTAACACTTAAAAAAAAATTCAGGTTCATTTTTGTTTTTGAGTCTGTAGAGTGAGGGTGCACTTATCCTTTGGAGAAACAGCTACTTCATAAGAGGCGCTCAAGAAATGGTTAAGTCATCTTTTTGCTCAACTTGTTATAATCTTTATACAGCCTGAGATTCCAGTTTAGTGTAATGCAATTCCAGAGACAAAGAGTTGCAAATGTGTAGGTTTCAAGTAACTTAAGGCTTTTAAGATTTCCTCCAGTCAGATTTTCTTCAAAAGTTCAGTTGCAGAAATTTAAACACACGCACATACATATATATGTATATATATGACATTCATCTTTTCCAAGCTGCCCTCTGGCATATCTTTTCCATCTGATGTATTTCTGCTGCTAAAGCTGAAAGAGATTGCATAAAGGGAAAAAAAGGCACACAAACCGTGCGAAACAACAGACCCGAACTTGTGCAGGCACTGGTGTGCCAGGCCAGTTGGGAAATCCCTCTTGGTACTGAACCGCTTGTTGGACTCAAAAGTTTTTGCAATCCAAAGCCAATCCAATTTTCATTGCAGCACTTTTTTTCCACCAGAGACCCAACACAGCCTGAACTGTTTATCACACTATCTTGCCTGCTTTCCCACTTTTTGCTGCCACACACGAATGAAAAAGAAAACCCCTCTTCATTTACAGCAGAATCAAAAATGCTCTAAAGCTTTTAGCTTTCAAAGCAGGTAAGTTTGCCTCAGGTGAACCATGAAGTTCTGTCTCCTCTGAAACAGGCTAAAATGTCAAGCTGTTTTTTCTTTACTTTTCCCTTTTTTCTGCTACAAGGAATCACAGACTTTTCATCCTACCGTAAAAAACAAATGCCAGAATTAAAGCACATCAAGTAAGCACTCTTTCAAAATCTTCTAAAATTCAAGGAAAGAAGAAATATAATCATCTAAAAAAGAAAGAGAAGCAGCATTAAAAATCTGACTTCCTGGGTTCACTATTTCTCTAGGTATTTTCCTTGCTTGTTTGATCGGATCTTTCCTTCTTGATGCTTGTCTACAGCACAGATTCATAGTTCCAGACACAACATTTGCAGCTGTACAAGAAGGAAACATATGAAGTATTCCAATCGTTTTATTTGAATAACATTTATGAGCTCAATTAATTAGTATTTATACCACACTAAGTGAAAAGAGGAAAAAGGAGAGGGAGAAAGAATATGCAAGTTTGATGACCTGGTTAACTCAAGAAGGACAACGAGGTTTGCTCAGTTCAATGCCCAGACTTGTCCCATAGTTCCTCAACTTATTTACTTCCAGTCATCATTACTCAACATATGGTCACGATTTATTAGTCCATTCACAATCTACTGAGCCCAAAGCAAAACGTGCCAAAGACCATACATTATTCTTCTGCAATAACAAAATCAGTTTCCTCTACCCTCTGTATCCTTGTTTCTCTCGCAGCTATTGATTTAGATTGTGGAGGTATTTATTAGGCTTTTTCTGTGCAGAGGTTGTTTTTTCTTCCTCTTCTTGCAAACTTTTTTCACCCGTGAAGACCATGTGGAAAGTTGAACATTACTGGCAGGTGTCTTTCCATGGGTTACTGATTCCTGCGGTGTAAAGGTGCTCCATCTGGTTCTCAAATTAATTTTCATCAATTGCAAAGCTCTCAGGAATATGCAACAGTAAGTCTATGTGATGACAAAAACATGTGTGTTTTCATTTACGTGCAGTGCACACACCAGCTCACTCAATCTGGTACCCAGAGCTGCATCTGCCTTTTCAGTTTAGCTGTGGTACTCTTGTAAAAACGCTCATCATTCAAAGCTTGGAATCCCTGGATTCTTCCAACTCTGCAAGATAAAGCACATGCACACAAAGAAAGGTCAATAAAATAAGCCACAAAACAACTTAAAGATACAAGGACTATTGTTACAGTAATCAAAGCATTATGATTAAGGATTTTATATTGGACTCCTATAAAATATCTATATCATACAGAGATACATGCAATATTCAGACACACAAAGTATTTGATAAACACACAAATACGAACTACAAGATTTTTTTTTCACTTCCCAAGTTGCCAAAACTTTTCACAATTGACATGTATAATTAATTAAATGTATCCAGATAGGAACCATTAAGGGGGAAAAAAAAAAAAAAAAAAAAAGGAACTTTCTTTTGGCCACAGTCACTGGGGCAAACTCTTACAGGAAGATCCAAAAACTTCACAGCAAGGGTAGGGAAGGGAGGTCTCGGTGACAGAGCAGACACAGAGTTAGACCCCAAGGCACACAAACAGAATCATAGAATGGCTGAGGTTGGAAGGGACCTCTGGACATTATTTGGTCCAACCACCCTGTTCAAGCAGGGTCACCTAGAGCCAGTTGCCCAGAATTGTACCCCTGCCGCTTTTGAGTATCTCCAAGGATGGAGACTCCACAACCTCTCTCAGCAACCTGTGCCAGTGCTTGGTCATCCTCACAGTAAAGAAGTGTTTTTTGATGTTCCAAAGGAACCTTCTGTGTTTCAGTTTATACCTGCTGCCTCCAGTCCTGTCACTGGGCACCCCTATAAAAAGAGCCTGGCTCCCTCACCTTCATTCCCTCCCATCGACTGTTTATACACATTGAAAAGATCTCCCTGAGCTTTTTCTTCTCCAGACTAACAGTCCCAGCTCTCTCAGACTTTCTTCATATGAGAGATGCTCCAAACCATGAAAGTACAGAGCTAAACTTACCAGTCTCAAAGGAGACTGAAAAGATTCCTCCAGGGCTTAAACTGGTGCTTTAAAGAGATCTAAGGTATTCCAAAATTAAAGCTTAGAAGTTTGAATCAAGACAGATGAATTTTAAAGACTACTCAAATCCTGCATAAGTCTTCATTTGAAAAAGGGGGAAAAAATTCCCCAAAGTCAGTTATATACAGAAGAATGTAAATTCAGTGGAAGAGACCAAGTGAAAGGTTGCCTGGGATATTCCAGAAGTTGTATCTGAAGCGAACACATATGCACAGCTATGGCACCTACACAGTTACAGCTAAAGAGACATTTAAGTAAAGAATTGCATTCATGACAGACATCACAGCTGTAAAAATGGTCTTGTCTATATTACATACAGCACTACCCTCACATTTTGAGTAACTAACCACTTGTTTCAGTCTGTAGCACAGATGCACTAATAAGAATTTTTTAAAAAGAGAAAAAGGACGAAAATTTATAGATATAAAGGCAAGGTCATAAAGTAGTTTACAACACTATTTGGCTAGCACACTTATGGGGAACACTGTCCATGAGGTTTGGCAAGTGACTACCAGAACTTTTCAGCATTACAATAAAGAAAAATTTTAAAATAATGGCTGCTACCAATTTTTTTCATCATAGTATGATGAGGATGAGAAATGTCACCTAGACTTTCCAGATTTATGGTGCTTTCTCAATTACAGTCCAAAGAAAGTTCATATAAAGGAAAATTCAGAAAAATGTTCAGAACACAAGAAGAATTTCTGTGCTCATCCCATAAACAAACCTGATCCTATCAAGGATCAGCACTATTATCTCCATACCCACTGGGGTCTTCCTAACAAACATCTGCATTCACAAGTTGACATTTTATATTAGTGACATGTCTACTGTGATGCAAGCCTTTACTAATCTTACAGAGAAACAAAAAAACCTGGTTTACTGAGAAAACAGAAAGTCTCTGAAACATCAGTTAGAGCAGCATGAGGTAAGCCTTAAACAGAATTGTTTGAATTGTGAAAGTACCATGACTTTACAAGTGGATTTTAAAATACAGACAACTACAGATGCAGTGGCTTTGCACAAAATCTGTATGCAATTTCTGTCCTTATTCACTGCATATAAAATTAACAAGTTTGAGAAAAGGACTACTTTGTGTCTTGGCCAGTAACCTTCTCTCACTTGAGTCCCATTTACCCATCACTTTCAAGATCAGACAAACCAAAGACTTCTCCTCTTAAAAATATCCAAACTGCATTAGGGATGCTGGACAAGGAGAGATGAAAATCTAAAATAACTAAAAAAGGAATAAAGTCAGTCATTATTCAAATACCTCTCTCAATACAATATATCCTACAAGGATATTTTACCTTTAAATCACTGAGGGTCAACACTCTCTTTATGTGGTACTTATATTCAGTAGACAAGATAAAAAAATACTTTCAAGACTGTAGTGTCAAACACTATCAAAAAGATAGGCCAAATTAAGATTACATATATTATATATTATGATTTAATTCTTTCCATTCCCCTCTCCTTCATTTCACCCGCTCAATATTTCCTAAGAAAAAAATCTAATTAAAAGACTCAGACACTATTCTTCCCTCAAGAAAATCAGTAACTAATTTAGACACCCGCTTTCTTCTGCCATTACACCAGTCCCACAGTTCTGCTCATTTTCACATGTTTAAACCAAGCTTTTTGGCTTCTTTTTCCCTACCACGTTACACATGGCTACTACTTCTATTGTAAAACATGTATAACAGATGAGGATAAAAAGCATCATGGAAGAGCTAGGTGTTACTTGGACAATCTTAGCGCTAAGTCTGAATTCAGTTTGGTCTCCCCATATAAAAAGAACTTCCAGATGAAAGTCATCCAAACTAAATTTTTAACTGCAGATTTTTTACAATGAAACTTCAGGCATCTTTTCTTTCAAAAAAAAAAAAAAAATTTTTTTTTTTTTTTTTTCTGGTAAATTATTTCTAGCATTACTAGGACACTAAATATCAACAAACTGCAGTTACCTACTCTTCCTCTCACTTAAAGGACAGCTGAAAATTTGTTCTGGATTTTCCCTTTGACAAAGGGAGACGTTACTTGAACTCATCCTCTAATACTGGTTTGAGTCTAAGCCCAGTAATGTAAAACATTTAAGTACAGACTCCTAATGAAACAAAAACACATTAGACCTGTGACACAAGAAAGAAAGATCCACAGGTATTTTTATTTGATTTTGCTTTGAAAGCATAGCTCCTCTCAAATGTGAAATGAACAACTTATGTTTCCAAATTACAGAAATAAATGGAGGTATTAATTTAAAAAAATGAGCTTATTAACAGTGGCTCTCATATTTTAATGTCAATATTAATTCATCATTTTTATCTCCTGTTTCCATTAACTTATATAAAGTGTCAGTGTAAAGCCTCAGTTGGACAACCTGAAAAATATTTGCTTGTCCTCATGCATCTTTCAATGAGGTGTCTCTTTTGTTGACAGAAAGAAGTCATGCACAGCCAAGTGTACCAATACTGCAGAAAGCTCTTCAGCATTTTATGTTTATTCAAAACCCAACTTTTCAAGGCTCCAGAGCAGAGTATCTGAAGGAGAGGATAAGAGGAGACTGGGAGGGGAAGGAAAGCAGAGAAAGAAAATTCAAATGAGTATGCACTACTTCTAAATTACCACTTTCAAAAAACCAAACCAAAACAAAAACCGACTCACAGCCTGCATTTTGAAGATTGTGACTGCCCAAATATCTTATAGAAAGAAATGTAAGCTGCAGTCTTTGAAAAGTCAAGCTACCAGATTTCAGGATTTTTCAGCCTAACCAGATTTCCTTCCTGTCAAACTTACGTAAGGTCAAAGGAAACTGCAGTTTTCCCTCCCTTTACAGTCTAAGAAACAAAAAATATACACTAGTATCCATGAAGATAGCAAGATACTTTAAAAAAATACATGACCACATACTTGTATTTTGCTCTAAAGGATCAAACCACAACTGGTTCTGCACAAGGTGATGGCAGACAATCCCACCAGTTATCAAAAGAGGACTGTGGGAGTAACCTTCAAGTTTACTGCTGAACACTATACTACAAAACTGGCACATTCTGTAATACAGTCACTATATTTCAGGCTCAGTACCATGGAGCTAGAAGCTGGCAAGATGATACATTTAGTTATTTAGTCCAACTCATAAAGTAACATAAATTGTTAAATAACTCTATCCAAAAGGAAAGAAAATTATTTAACAAAACTAACTACTCAATTACTAAATGGCTGAAGTACATACAAGGAAAGACAACTGGTTCAGAAGTAAAAACTTTTTTTTTTTCCATTAAAAATGAGCCAATTCCATAGGGAGAAAATGTAATTTTGACCTGAATAAGTACTGGTTTTCCTCTACTTTCATTCACCTCTTATAATTATCTTTGCTTTATTCACCTTCCATTGTGGTATAAATGATTGAGGTTAACACCTTTCTTTCATATTACACAACAATACAAAATTAATTTGGAGGACAAGATTCTAAACAAATGCCAATACGCTAACTAGTGGTTGTAAAAATGTTCTTCACCCCTAGAAAAATGAAGGAAGAGCGGAGAGGAAAAAAAAATGGTAGAATATGCTCGAGTTTTGCTCCATTTGTTCTTAAACGGTTTCCTCCCCACGATGTTTGAGTAATTCTAGAAGTTCTTCTACTTGGGGTCAGCTGCATGGCCTGGGCAAGACAGTCAGTCATGATAATCAGAGATGTAAAGAGATCTGTAACCCCAGCAACTGCACAGAAACAGATATGTAGCAAAGGTGTAATGCTGGGCACTGTGATAACTGCCAGCCCATTAATAGAGGCTGTAATGTTAGTTATATGTATCTATATATTGTTAAGCAAACAAAACTGACAGAAAAATGTATCTGTTGGCATATTGAGAGAAGTGAAGCTCCTATTAGTAGCTGTTCAGCAGACATTCATTGTATTGACAAAATTTATTTCAATGCAATACTTCAACAAACGACAACCATGTTCTCCACCAAATTACACTACCAGAGAAGTGAAAATAAAAGATAATAGTAGATGATCATCATTTCTGATGTGCTGAATGACCCTCC